ACATACTATTTACTGAATCAGAATTTTGAGAATATCAGCAAGTCAAGAAGCCACTAAAATTTTTCCTTTCTTCTTAAATGTCCTATTTTCATTAGCTTTTATTCTTTCAGAAGGCAGCATAGTGGCTTTTCATGTGGTGTCAGTTACAGTAGCCAAGATTCACCTTTTCTATGCCTATTCAATTTCAGTATTTTGTGCTATGTATGAGTTTTCCTATTGAAAAATACAGTATCTAAGCACATATAGAAGAGAACACACACACTCTTTCACATGTACAATGTCAATGGGGGAATTCTCCCAAGCTATCTGAGAAGCAGCTCACAGAACTAGAAATTAAACAGAGAGTTAAAATTGATGGGGAAGGGAAGAAGAGAGAAACACAAGAACAAAACACAAAGAACAAGGCAACTCAGAGCACAGGAAGTACAGGTAGTCCTCATTTAACGATCACTCATTCAGCGACCATTCAAAATTACAATGACACTGAACGAGTGGTACTCACGACTGGTCCTCCAAGTTCCAGCCGTCCCAGCACCCCCATGGTCATGTGGTCACATTCTGGGCACTTGCAACCAGCTGACACAACGGTTGCAGTGTCCTGCAGTCATGTGATCACATTTGCAACCTTCCCTGCCAGCTTCCCACAAGCGAAGTCAATGGGGAAGCCAGCAGGGAAGATCACAAGTTGTTCCGGTAAGTCACCTGCACTCTCTCCCATCCAGCAACAGCCACCCCTGGCGCTGCCACACTTGCATGGCCATCTCATGGGCCACCCGCGTACCCTCTTCTGCCAGCAGCAGCCACCTGCTGGCCTGCTTGCGAGCTGCCTGGGACTCACTTAATGTGCTGCAATCCTCATTTAACAATGGCAGTGGGGAGTGCAGGGATTGCTGGCACTAAGCAATGCAGTCATGTGATATCGCATTTTTCATTGCTTAAAGATGGAAATTTTGGTCCCAATTACGGCTGTTAACCAAGGATTATCTGTACTCCCATAACCCGGATGGGCCTTTGATGTATTTTAAGTTTCAGGAATTGGATAAAATGAATAAAATAAACACATTCAAATTTCACATTAAATACTTTAAAAGACATGTATATGAAGACAAAGGATATAAACAAAAACTCAAAAAACACACTTACATGTATACCATGTTTGTATCTAAGTCAATGCAAACAACATCTTGTGGTGGTTCATACAGATCAAAATACCGTGAGTCAACTCCAACTATAAATGGGACAGGAGCACTGAGCACCGTTGCCAGAGACAAAGGACAGAGGGGGATGTAGGGACACTGCCACTGAAATGGAAAGATCATCTGAAGGAAAAATTAAATGAAACCCATAAATTAAAAAGACAATGAAAACTATATAACACCAAACTATGTTAGATAACATGAATTTTACAGCAGCACCACCATTATACAATAAATCAACTTATCACTGCACAAATAAAATCTGAAATTATTATTTAATAATTGGTAGTGCTATACTGTATACACAAATTATTTAGCTTGGACATGACTGATATCAAATCTAAGGTAATACATAATTTTATGCTCAAATAATAGTTTAGTAAGAATTTTATTACAAATTTTATTGTGCAATTTTCATGTATCTAAACACTATTTTGTAAGCCACTTCTGTCAACAATTACTTGTGCAAATGAAACAAATATAAGGTGATGAAGATATATAATTCAAAATGCAGGTAGCCCTTGATTTACGACCACAATAGGGACTGGAAAGTTAGTCATTAAGCGGTGTGGTCCTTAAGTGAGGTATCATGTGACCGCACCAATTTTACGACCTTTTTTTGCTGCAGTCGTTAAGTGAATCACGTGGTTCCCATTGAATTTGCTTGTCGAAAGCTGACTGGGAAGGTTGCAATTGTGATCATGTGACCCTGGGACGCTGCAACCATTGTAAATACATCTTGGTTGCCAAGCACCCAAATTTTGATCATATGACTGCGGGGATGCTGCAGTGGTCATAAGTGTGAGGACTTATGTGTAACTCACTGTTTTCAGTGCCATCGTAATTTCGAATGGTCATTAAACAAATGGTTGTAAGTCAAGGACTACCTGTGCTAGCAAAATAAATCTTTGTAAATTATCATTGCCTAAGTATTTTATTTCAGGAGCATCCTAACATGTGCTGAACAATAGTAAATTTAAAAGTCGAAGTTTTACCAAAAGATTAACCCTACTTTTGATTCTATTATGGTGAACATCATAGTTCCTGACTGTAAACTGTTTTGATGTATTCATTTTATTCCAGTGCTACTACTATGGTTCAATCTGAATTTTATATATAATCTCATTTGGCCTATTGGAATGATATATAAGCTACCGGTACAGAAGATAAACATCAAGAAATTGTTAATATCTTTTCTCTGTAATATGCAATTTAAGAAAACAGTGACATATCATTTTTGAATAAAAATATAGAAGGAAAAAGATAATTGATCCGATTAAAAATAGTGATACAATAAAAGCAAAAAAGTTTATTCCTGAACCTATCTTCTTGAAAATGTAGCTTATGTATGTTTTGAAAAACATATATGTTCATTTTCTAACTGCATTTCAAGTTAAATAAAATAATTTGGGAAGCCCAAACTGTTATATGTATTAATTCAGCATAAAACATGTCCTGTTCATGATTATTGTATCCCATCAACCCTTCCACTGATAAAATAACAGCAGTAGAATTGTAACAGCAAGAAAGTTTCCCTTCTCCTAAAGAGCTTGGCAATAAGCTTCTGAGAGTTGGAGGACTCTCCTGTAGAGAGTCAGGAAGACGACTTCGATGGAGATATTCAGGATCTGTTGCCTAGGCAAAAGGGGCAGAAGCATTTTTAAGTGGAGAACGAGAGAACATTCAGAAGCAGCTCAGGCAGACACTTCCCTAATTCACTCGAGTATAAGGAGGAGGAGGAGGAGGAGGAGGAGGAGGAGGAGGAGGAGGAAGTACAGTACAATCAGACTTGCAAGATTGTGTTATTATTTTATTATCTCATATTGAAACTATGTTTCAGCCTTCCTGTGGAGTTGATTTCCTGGTCTGGTCTACCAAGCGGGACTGATATCTCCTGAGAAAGTTTGGGGAACACAGGGAATGTATGGGGGGGGGGGAATTGCATTGTGGATATGAGATTTACCCACAAAACTTGAAGAGTGCCAAAAGATATTATAGAAGGGGTTGTGTTTTTTTAAAAATTGAACTTTAGCAATCAAAAGGTCCCATTTTGAAAACTTATAGATGTGCAAAAAGAAAAAAATTAATGTGAGTCATCAGCTATTGTTCTGATGCAATAGTTTCTTTGGGCATTAATTAATTCCTTTGCAGCAAAAAGCTGTGAATTCGCTTATACTATCCCAATATAAAATCCTTGCACATTAATTTTGCCTTTAGAGAAATAAATAAACAATTTAAAACACCAAGTATGCCTCATCTTCCTCACATAACAAAATACAATTATTCCGAATTTAAATATTTCCTTCAGAAGTGTAACAAAACTCTTTTTTTGTGCAGAAAGTCACAGCAAACAAAATAAAAGGAGAAAAGAAAATTAAGCATTCAAAGTATGTGAAGCAAGACAACAGATAAGAAAGAATCAATTAGATAAAAAAATATTGGTAATCAAAATATTCAAACTTAGTAGCCAAAACAAAACAAGAATACATTTGATGAGAAACAGTACAGTCTTACTGAAATTACAACAGCACTATAGAGTTTGCACAAATATAACAAGTTCACCATTGAAGAGAATGCAGGGTACTTACAGCAGCCACAGCTTCAGCAACTCCAGTCAGCACTGCTGGACAGAGAGAGTGTAGTAGGATCTTGCCTTCCAACAATACAAAGAGGAGTAAAGTAGCACAGTTTTCTGGTCCAAGATTCATAAGAAGAGTGCTGAAGTTTGCTCCACTACAATGAGATCAGAATGCTGAGGACTGTAACGTTCATTGCTCATCATGACAACAACAATAGTAATATATTAAATTTATATGCCGCCTGACTGCCAGCGACTTTCATATACTGGATAGTGGAATAGGAAATCCTATCTGATGCCCATTAACAAAGATTGCAACTCAAGTCTCCATTTATGTTGTAAAAGCCAGAACTGCAACTTATACAAGTCAAGTAAGCAGCATCTGCCAGCTCATTTTTACCTATCCTCACACCTGCATTTTATTTTGTTCTATTATATGCATAAAATATTATATGATAGGATATAAGTCCACCATATGGACTTTTTCCAAGTATCTCAGAAGTAGTGTTTTATCAGTACACCGGCACATGAACTTCTCAACTCAACCTACATACCCACCCTACCCCCACAAAATGATCAAGTTTAAGATAAGACTATAAGTTTATTAACAAGTCTTCACTGGTTTTTCAACCGTTCCACATATTTTAACCAGCAAAATGTTTTTAGATTAGTTAGGATTTCACTAAGGCAGCAGTTTTATTCACTGAATACAGATAACTTTTTCAATATGCAGGGACCTATGTATGAGCTAGTAAAACCTGCATCTAGAAAGGCATACTTATTATGACAGAAACAAGTGTGCATTTACTGAAAAAAATCAAGAGTCTTCATAGATTTCACACACAAAAACAATGGCATACTGTATCTTGACATCAGTCTTTACTAGGTTACATAAGAACAATTGGCTTTTAATCTGATGAACAGCGCATGCATGTGTGTGCATATGCACACGAGAGAATGAAAGATAGAGTTTGTATACCACATTAAGGAATAATATGTTTCACCAATAAATGAGCAGGAAGCTAGTGTGTGCTGCTCAGAATGTAACTACTATGTTCTTTTCCAAGTGGGGATGTCTAACAAATTATTGAGTTCATCTATAGTTTGGTTAGCTAGCAGAAACTAGGGAAAGAAGACAAGAACTGGTACTTCTTTTCTGGCTTCTGAAGATCCCTAGTATGAACAATTTGAACCAGTGTTTTTCAAACTTGGCAACTTTAAGATGTGTGGATTTCAGCTCCCAGAATTTCCAAGCCATAATTTAAACCAAGGCTGGACATCAGTTATTTTATTTTCAGTTAGCAATAATTGTGCCTCGGATAAACTTCATTGGCTATGATAACTGCCACTATGCAAAGCTAATTTATTTTTAGATCCTATTATACAGATAGTCCTCAACTTACAATGCCAGTTGGGACTGGAATTTCTGTTGCTTAGTGATGCGGTCATAAAGCATGACTGCATCGCTTAGTGACAGCAATCCCTGCAGTCCTGGTTACTGTCATTAACTGAATCCCACGGTTGTTAGGTGAGGCAACTTCCTGCTGGCTTCCCACAACCAAAGTCAGTGGGGAAGCCGACAAGAAGTTGCAAGTCCCAGGCCTGCAGGCAGGTAAGTGGCTGCTGCTGAGTGGGGGGAGGGAGCAAGGAGGTATGTGAGAGGAGTGGGTCAGGTGCACAAAGGTGCACAAGAGGCACTGCATGGATTGGGAGGGTGCACAAAGGTGTTCAAAAGCCACACAAAGCTTCCAGAGGAACAGCTGCTTTAATACTTCAAGAGGTTAATTCAATTATACTAACACACTTTACAAAATGACCCTTTCAAATCCTTTGCACACCTCTAATAAGAGTTTGAAGTTATTCCAAGTTGTTTTACCAATAGAAGAGAATATATGTAGTTCAGGGTTGAACTATAGAGTCCTTGGGGTTCTCTGAGCTTGGTTGTTTTCTTGCAGACATTTCGTTACCCAACTAGGTAACATCTTCACTGCTAGAAGGGAGTGGGGTTTGCTCTGTTTCTATAGCAGCAATGGCAAACCTTTTGGGCTCAGCGTGTCAAAAATTCGGAAAATACCTAACTTGACTCTGCTGCCATTTCACCTCCCCCACCCGAACAAAAGAGAAACAATTCTTAACATATTCCTTTATTTAAAAAAAAATACAGTGCAATCATGGTGCTATGTATTATATAAAGAAATGTCAAATAATTACAAAAATGAAATACGAGTAAAACAAACTCAGTTTCTTTGGTAACTCAAACAGGAAGAATAGTTGTTGTTGGGTGTTGGTGAATGCTGGCGTGTCACCTTTGACATGCACGTCACAGGTTCGCCATCACTGTTCTATACGGTAGGTTGCCTTGTCAGTGTTGGTGGGGGTGTTGTTTTTTCCCTTGATAGTCCCTAGATTAGGTTGCTGTTTACTGTTAGATTGCTTGCCTGAGTTGGTAGTTCCTTGATTAGGCTGTTGTTTACTGCTTGATTGTTTGTCTGGTGTTAATTCTGGTGTTAATCCCTGCTCATCTGGGTGTTGATTGCTGGTGAGGAGGTGTTCTGGTCTTTTTGCTTCATTTTTATTGTCTCTTTTGAATAGTGTGTAAATGTTGTTTATGTGCCTGTTGATGGCTGCCTTGTCTGAATACGAAGCTTCCAGGAATTCCCTCACATTTTTGGATTTAGCTTGGTCTAAGATGCTGACAGTTTC